AAATGGATTATGTTGTGAACAAATACTCTTGGAAACTTTACAGAAATCACTTGCAGATGATTTGAAGTTTCAAGAATTAAAACAATTATTCAATGTGGGAGAATGCTCTGTATTTACAGTATAAATGTTTCTAATATTGTCTAGATTATTGTATTAACTAGATTTTGTCTCAATATTATACGATCAACCACGTTTGTGTGGGTGTACCACTGAGGTAAAAATGTTACTAGGGGTGCTGGGGACTTAGCTCAGTGGTTCTGGTGGCTGCCTCACAAGCGCAAGGTCCCGAGTTTGATCCCCAGTACCAAAAAAAAAAAAGTTACTAGGGAAGATATATTCTTTAAAATAAGACTTCTTAAATATAAAACAGTGTATATGAAGGAATTTCCTGGGTTAGTAGTAATAATTTTACTTGATAGAAGTTTAGTTGCATATGAGGGGTTGCGGGTATAGCTCAATGGTAGATTGCCTGCCTAGCATGAGCAAGGCCCTAGGTTTGCTCTTCAGCACTACAAAACAAACAAACAAATGAACAAACAATCCATGGATTGCATACATGTATGCATTTGTTGAAATTCATCAAAGTGTAGACTTAAGATTTGTGTATTTCAACAAATGCATTTGTGTATTGCCACAGCCCTGGTGGCTGAAGGATTCAGGGAGTCAGAATTGAGAAATGGTGGTGGGAGATTAAGAAAAGACAAAGAGATACAAGATATAAGAGATATAAGATATAAGGTGGGCCAGATGGGGCTCTAACTCCGGAAGGGAGAAAAAGACCCCAGGCAAATGCAGCATGGTTTATTTATAGTGGTAGAGATAAGAGAAGTAGGGGGGTCAGGTAAAAGGGGCTGATCTGTAACCCGAGCCAGGAGAGTAGATAAGGTCTGCAGGACCTCCTGCTTGATGGCTTTCTCGCGAATGAGTGGGAGGAAGACAGTCCTCCTCTTGGCCAGGCCTTGCTCCACCATGCCTCCTTGTCACCTGTTCTTCCTCCCACAGGGCTCTGCCTAGTCCATGGGAGGAGTTGGGTTAGACCTGGCCGTAGTGATCTACAGTGCAGTGCTCCCAGCACTGTATGTAAAATTTACCTGAAAAGGAAAAAAAAAAATCATACATACTAAGCTAGTTAATGATTTATATGGTCAACTATTAGGGTCAGTAAATTGATGTCTTTGAGGGCCGGGGATTTAGCTCAGTGGTTTCGCCGCCTGCTGCGCAAGCGCAAGGACCCAAGTTCAATCCCCGGTTCCAAAAAAAAAAAAAAAAAATTGATGTCTTTGACTTACTTTGAAGTGCATTAAAAAAGACAATTTAAGATGGATTGATAATGGATTGAGGGATGATAGATGAATAGATTAGTATAACATATTGTAATAAAATAAGTGAATTAAAGTAGTAATTATAAAGTCTAAGTGGTGGATATGTGAATATTTCTTTTAAAATTATTTCAACTTTTCTGTTATATTATTCTTAGGCACTCTATAGCAACACAGAAGTTGATATCAGATGTGCAGAGTATTTTAGAATGGTATCAATTTTACTTAAATTTTTATAAAAATCTTAGACCAATTAGTGTTGCTGCAACAAAATACCTGAGGCTAGATGCTTTATAAAGTAAAGAGATTTGTTAGGCTCAGAATTCTGGTGGCCAGAAGGTCCAAATAGCATAGTTCTGTTATCTTGGTGAAGGCCTCTCTGGCGAGAGAAACAGGAAGGAAAATGGTCTTTTGCACAAAGGACCAATCTCATGAGGTAGCCTCACTTCTTTTTTTCTCTTCTCTTCTCTTCTCTTCTCTTCTCTTCTCTTCTCTTCTCTTCTCTTTCCTTCCTTCCTTCCTTCCTTCTTTCTTTCTCTTTCCTTCCCTCTCTCCCTCCCTCCCTTCCTTCCTTTCTTTCTTTTTTCACAAGGTCTTACTGTGTATCCAAGGTTCGCCTTGAACTCATGGCAATCCTCTTGCCTTAGCCTTCTAAGTGCTAAGATTACAGGCTTGCACCATCATACCTGGCAAGGTAGCCTTACTTTGTAACAACCTTTTCTGTAAGGAATAACTCCATGAGAGAAACATTAATCCCTTCCAAGATGGTGCCCCCCCCATTCCCGAGACCTAGTTACCTTCCATTAGGCTCCACCTATTAAAGGTTCCACGAACCCAACACTGTTACACTGAGGACCGAGGACCAAGTTCCAAGCACATTTAGGAGAATGAACAAACTGTATCTGAACCATAACAAAACATGGCCAGTATAGAATCTCTGTTGTACTCTATAAGGAGGGGAGGAGTGACGGAAAATAATTTGTGTCATAAGAGCTTGCAGACAAGAGGTTGACTGGTTATCTTACAGCAAAGATTGTAAGAGTTATTGAACTTAAAGATGAATGAAGCCGTTTTTTGTTTTTTGTTTTTGGTACCGGAGATCGAACTCGGGACCTTGCACCTATGAGGCAGGCGGTGGAACCACTGAGCTTGATCCCCGGCCCTGAAGCAGTTTTTAAAAAAGCGAAAAGGAATGTCAAATTTGCTTACCCCTTTTGAATGAAAAGTGTCTATATAATGTGCTACATAGATTAAAAACAAAGTAATATACCAATCAGTGGAATACTCTATCTCTTTAAAATAAAGGGGATTATTTTCACAATAAGTGCAAAAATAACTGCCCTTTTTAAAGGCAGAAATAAAAATTACTAAGAGTGTTTTAAAAACCAGTCTTTGGAAATATTATGTGATTTTTAAAATTAAAGATGGATATATCTTATAAGAATATTCTATTTGTATTCCTCTTCTCCTCCTCCTCCTACTACTGACTTCTTCCTCCTCTTCTTCCTCTCTCTTCTTTCTCTTCTTCCTCTTCCTCCTATCTACTATGATTACTTCTTCCTCCACTACTACGACAACTTCTGCTTCTTCCTCTTCTTCCTCTACTACAACTACTACTACTTCTTCCCCTTCCCACTTTTCTTCCCCTTCTCCTCCTTCTTCCTCTTCTCTTTCCCTTTCTCCTTCCCCTCTTCTTTCTTCTCTCCCTTCCCTCCCCTCCCCTTTCTTCTCCCTCCTCTTCTCTATCTCCTTTTCCTCCTTTTTCCTTTTTTCCTTATACAGGGCATTGAACTCAAGACCCTCAATCCAAGTCACATCCATAACTCCAACTTCCACTTAAAATTTTTTTTTTAAAGTTTGAGACAGGGTCTTGCTAAGTTGCCCAGGCTTGAACTTGCACCACCCTGCCTGGTGCTAGTTGCATTAATTAAAAAAAAACAAAAACAAAAACAAAAACACCTCACAGCAATATTTTCTATACTCTTAAAAAAAAGTCTTCCAAATAAAGTTTCAGTGGGCTAGGGGAGGGGTGATGGAGAAAGAAGAGATGTTCAAAGGGTTCAAAATTTCAATTATACAGGAGGAAAACATTTTAGTGTTTTTATTGTGAGGCATGGGGATTATAGTTAAAATAATGAACTATGTTTTTCAAAGTTGCTGAGTAGATTTTAAATTTCTTATCATAAGAATGTTCAGTATGTAAAGTGATGGATATGTAAATTAACATGATTTAATCATTCCATAAAGTATACACATCACGTCATATCCCTTAAATATATACAATTATTTTTGTCAATTAAAAACATTTAAGGGCTGAGGATTTAGCTCAGTGGTTCTGGTGCCTGCCTTGCAAGCACAAGGTCCCAAGTTCGATTCCTGGTACCAAAAAAAAAAAAAATTAAAAAAATTAAAAAAACCTCATAAAACAGTGCTACATATCTAATGGGTCATGAGTTTCTTGGTAGAAATTCATCATTCTGGTCATCACATATGATTTATATACTTTTCTGGTTGATTGTTAAACTTTAGCAAAAATAAATAAATGTAAGAAAAAATAGAAACCAAAATAAAACAAAAAACCTTTTCAGCAGTTTTTGACCTGTTGTGAAAAATGTTAAAATGCAACGTCTTTTGATTAGTTTATAAGAACAAATGATTGACATAAGGGAAGATAGAAATTATTAGTGCAAGTTCAACAAAAGTTTTTGATAATGGAAGGTATTAAAAATGAAAATAATGATTTAGTTAAGTCCAACAAATGATGTATTTCTTTAATTTTTATCTGTTCACCTTTGCAATTATCCCTTTCTTGGCTCTATAAGCCATTATAATTAAGTGGTAAGATAAGCAACACTAACAGTTCAGTCATAAGATTATAAAATATTTAAATCAGTGTTTTAAAGATTATTATAATTTCATTTTTACCATTGTTCCACTAAAAATGTTAATGTTTTTCTGGAAAATGAGGTGATTTTTTGAAAGATTAATAAGATATAAAACTTTCTAATGCTTGTAATTTTTGTTTTTAATTTGTATTTTATGTATATTTTGTATTATCTAGAACATAGTAGTAAAATAGTATATATTAATAAATATGCACTTATTGGAGGACTACAGTAAGGTTTGTTTGTTGGAATATGTGATCAGAGAAGTTTGGAGACCTCTCTACTCATGATCAGACAGATTATTTTTATTGGTAGCAGTAATTATTTATTCTAAAAGTCTAAGTCATTGTTATACACATTATAAACCAATACATAGATTGTATTATGCTTACCATGTGTATAACTCAGTTTCATATCAGACTGTTTTTCATTTCTGCCTGAGATTTTCTTTTTTCTCTATTCTCTTCCCATTGTGAAAAATGTTCATTGGTATTATTTTTGCAATGCCATTGTCAATGTGAATATATAAATGCATCGATGAAACTTCTAGCATATTTCAATTAAAATTTCTCATCTGAACTACAATTCACAGAGGAGGATTTGAGTGGCTATATTCTCTGTTCTCCCAAGGATACACATTACTAGTATAGCTCTGGATGCATGGGATGGAAATTAATTCATTACATGCAATGGATGATTTAGAACAGTAAGAGTAGACTTTTTGCAGCAGGTTCTTGAAATGATTTACTTTGACTGGCTTATAGTATTTATACAAACAATTAAATATTTTTTTTAGATTACAGGTCCACCAGGTTGTGGTAAAACTCAGTTTTGTATAATGATGAGTGTATTGGCTACATTACCCACCAACATGGGAGGATTAGAAGGAGCTGTTGTGTACATTGACACAGAGTCAGCATTTAGTGCTGAAAGGTAGGATATATTATTGTTTCCATTATAATGTGTTGCTGTTATAATATATACAGTGTGGAACATGTATAAATTTCATTAATTAATGCTTTGATCTTTATAATTTCTTGTGGTAGTTTCAGATTTGGATGGACATTGAGATGAATCATTAGGTTATTTGGGATCATTATATTCTTTTTATGTGTACATTTACATCTACAAACTTCCATCTTAGAAATGGTTTCATTATGTCTCATAGGTTTTGGTATGTTGTATTTCCACTGTCACTTGATTCAAGGAACTTTTTTCTTTCTTCCCTGATTTCTTCTGTGATCTATTGACTATTCAGTAATGTGTTATTTAATCTCCATGTGTTTGTGTAGTTTCTGTGACTTTGCTTTCTATCTTTATTATGCTATGATCTGATAGTATGCCAAGGATTGCTTCAGTTTTTAGATTTAGGCATGCTTTATGGCCTAAGACATAAACTATTTTGGAACATGTTCCATGTACTGTTGAGAAAAATATATATTCTGTTGTTGGATGGAACATCGTATAGATATCTGTTAAGTCCATTTGTTCAACGCTGTAGTTTAACTCTGAAGAATTTTTGTGTGGCTCTCCTATTTGTGAGACTCTGATATTTAAGTCCCCCACTATGATTGTACAGTAAGTAGTTCCTGACTTATGAATATTCAAATTGTGAACTTTCACTGATATGAACAGACCTCACATTTAGTTTTTTTATGCTTTACAATGTATATTTGTGTCAAAGGTGTATAAGACTGCCTTTGTCGGACTTATGAATGAATCTGACTTATGAATGTTCTCCCTAAACAGAACTTGTTTGTGTAGAGCTTTTACAAATTTCATTAATTTCTGCTCTGACTTGTTTGTAAGTCGAGGACTTACTGTATTGATGTTTATCTGTCTTTTTTAAGTTCAATAGTTTGAACATTTATGAAGTTGAGTGTACAGATATTCAGTGCATAGATATTTACAGTTGTTATTTCTTCCTGTTGAATTGTTCCCTTTACTAGTTTATAATACTAATTTCTGTCTCTTCTGATCAATTTTCACTTGAAGTTTGCTGTGTCTGAAAATAAGATAGCTACTCCTACTTGTTTTTGGGCTCTGGTTAAATGGAGTATCATTTTCCATCCTTTCACTTTCAGTCTGTGTGCTTCCTTTTGGATGGGATATGTCTTCTGTAGACAATATATTGTTGTATTGTATTTTTTATCCAATCTGCCAACCTGTATCTTTTGATTGGTGAGTTGAGACTATTGACATTGAGAGTTATTGTAAGGTGTTTATTGAATCCTGTCATTGCATTATTTCTTCAGTGCTCATTTTTGTTTTTACTACCCTCCCAGTTAATGTATACTTTCCTTTGGGCTCTTTGATGCTGGTAGTCTCCCCGTTTCTATCGAGAATTCCCTTAAGTATATTCTGCAGTATTGGATTAGTGGTCATGTATTTCTTTAGGATTTCTTTATTGTTGAAAGTCTTTACTTCTTCATCTAATTTGAAGGCTAATTGTGTAGGATATAAATGTCTGGGTTGACAATTTTGTTTTTTAGGGCTTGAAAAACTTTGCCCTAAGGTCTCTCTTGGCCTTTAAGGTTTGTGCTGAGAAATCTGCAGTTATTCTGATGGGCATTTCTTTATAGGTTATTTGCTGTATTCTCTCCTTTTGTTGAATTTCTGGAATTTTGATTATGCTGTATGTGGCAAAGCTCTTTTCTAGGCATGGCTGTTTGGGATTCTATAAGACTCTTGTCATGAATACCGAATTCTTTCCCTAGATTTGGAAAATTTTCTGTTATGTTTTCAGTGAATAAATTTTTTTATACATTTTGAGTTGTCTTCTAATTTTTTCTTTATTCCTATAATTTTCAGGTTCCATTTTTCTTGAGTCTGTTAGCAGCTCTTGGATCCAGCTTGCATGGTGTCTTCCTATTTTTCTGGTATCATTGATCTTATGCAGTATTACATCTATGATGTCTTCTATTTCTGACACTTTGTCCTCATAGTTTTCAAGACTACTATCCATGCATTCCATTGAACTTTTTATATCGTCTATTTCTGCTTACTTTCTTTTTCATACTTTCTAATTCTTTATTGAAGTGTAGGCCATTCATGTATTGTCTTGCTTAATTCAATTAGTTTATTGTTTCTTCTTTAAGCCTGCCATACATTTTATTAGTAAAATCATCTATTTGTTTAATGAAATCCTGTGTGAGCTCTTTAAGTATTTTATGCATTTGCTTATAAGTTTCTTATTTTATCTCTTCAAATGCTTTGACCATTTGCCTTTTGAGTTCTTTGACTATATCTTCCTCTGCTTCAGTGTCCATGAGATTGGCTTTGGGGTCATCTTGTTGCCTTACTTTCTCGTGTTTCTGTGCTGTAGGTTTAAGATCAGTTAGGGTAGAGAAACTCTGTGGCTGTTGTGGATATCCCTTTGGTTAGGCTCTGTCTCCCTGTGATATGTCCCTGGGTTTGGTTATGTTTTGGTGTTTATATTCCTCTTCATCCTATTCAGCATAATATTTGAAGGTCTTCTTAGTGTCCAAATTCTGCTTGAGACTTGATCCCCAGGACCACTCACAGAAGAGAAAAACAAATTACAGCAGTGTTGACAATATAGTGATAAAGCAGGTAATTACATACAGTAAAAACTAATTAAAAGCCACAACTATAGTACCATTAACAATAGGTATTATCAATAATGGAGTCAAAGACCAATGAGTCATTGAGATCCCATAAGCACCAATAATAGATACAGCTATAGTATCCTTAACAATAGAAAAGAGATCTGCAATAGTAATGTAGAAACAAAGACATACCAAATATTGGTGTACAGTAGATATCTACTAAAAGCAACAATTACATCAGTATTAATAATAAAAAAGAATTCAGTAATAATAGCATATAGTCAACTAAATAGCTAAAAATTAGTAAAGCTTAATAATAATAAAAATGGAATATGTGAGATTAGGGGAAAATAAAAAGTAAAATTTGAAAAAGAAAAGGATGATGAGAAGGATGAAAGAAAAGTGAGATAAAAAATTAAAGAATAAGTTAATAGAATTAGTCAAAAGTAACATAAAAAGGCAAACATAAAAATGTAAAGAAAAATAAAAAAAAAAAAAAAAAAGAACACAAGGAAAAAAAAAAAAAAAAAAAAAAAAACCCAAAAAACAAAGAGAAAGAGAAATGAGTTCAAAATATTTCTTTGTATATTTGGGTGAATGGTTTCTTTCCAGGGCCTGTGATATTGGAATCCGCCAGAAGGGATAATGAGTTACATACAACTAAGGCCTAATTTGTTTCCACACCCACTTTTTTTGCTGTGTGAGTCCTGAGTCCTGCCCTGCCCTTCCTACTATTCGTGGTCAGTCAGTGATCTGGTTCTGCCTTAGAACTGTGTTCACTCCAGTGGTTCTTAGTTTTGTGTTCTTCTGTGTGCTCCAAGGCAGTGCTCTCTCTAACTAGCTTTATGGCCTATGTGCTCATGAGGAGCCTCTCTTGTTCCAGAGGCCCCTCTATACACCGCAGGGTGTGGCAGCTCTCCAAACTGAGGTATTTCTTTGGTCATGTGGGCAGATGGGCAAAGCAAACAGACCACTGAGCTCCCTGGTGGACAAAGCAGTGTATGTGCTGGACATAGCAGTGGAGCAAATCAATCTGCTGGACTTAATGTCAGCACTTCCAGACTCAGTCTCCTCAGAAAACCACACAACCTGCCTGGCTTCTCACCACAGAGAGTGAGACTGCTGTGTCCTTTATAACCCGAGCTCACCACTTCATACATTTCTCAGGGGATTCACCATAGCCAGCCCCTTTTCTGGAATTGTCTTTGTTGGTCATCTCTTACCTAGTCACTGTGGTTGGATGAGCGTAGAGACCCTGAAGTGCAGTTGTTTTATGGCTTTTGATGTTCAGAGTAGCTTAGTCTAAAACAATAAACCCCTCCCAAAAATGGCTTCTGATTATATCACTCCCAAGTATGGTAGTTACTGCAGTGAGTTTCTTCTCCAACTCTAGCCTGCCATTGAGAAGGAGTCACTTTCAGAGTAAAATCCCTCTCTTAGTTACTTTCTCATCACTGAAACAAATTACTCAACACCCAAAGTTAAAGCAGGAAAAGTTTTTGTAGCTCATAGTTTGTAGACATTTCAGTTCATAGTTAGAAGGCTCCAAGGCAGGGTGGCATGGTGGAGAGGAATCACAGAGGAGAAATAGTTCATGGCATGGAAGGCAGACAGCAGTAGCAGCAGCAAGCAGCAGAAGCAGCAACACAGTATCAAAGAAGTATCAAAGACACAGTGACAGCAGCCTTCTTTCTGTCCCTTTTATTCTATCCAGGATACATGCCCTTAGGGTAGGTAGCACTCACACCCAGGGTGGGCCTTTCTATTATCCACACCCAGAACTATGCCAGACCAATCAGTGGACTAATTTAGTAATCACACAATCTGGGTCACAGCATCACACACTTAGTCCCAGCATCACACACTTAATCTCAGCATTACACACTCTAGATCTAGCCAACTTTGGAAAGCCCCACTGATCACTGCATGAGGCTTTGGGGGAACATCTAGACACAAGCCATAAAACCCCACACTATATTTGCAGCTTATAGTAACCACGGGCTTTTCTGGGTGCTACTGCTGCTGGTCTGTTGTTTCTCTCTGGGGTTGCTGGCCCTCTCTGGGATTACCTTATGTTTGCAGAGACATGACCTCTTCCTCTGGAGCTGGGATTAGTGTTCCAGATTGCTTCATTCTTTTCCCTGAGTTGTCTTCAGTTTCTCCAGCTTCTCTGTGATTTCTAGTTGTCCTGTTAGCTTGCTCTTGATTCCCTGAGCTTTCTCTCTTCACTAAATTTGTTGTTTTTCAGATATCTTGATTCTGGGTCCCAGAGAGACTATATTTTGCAGCTAGCCTTTACTCTATGTTTTTTTTTGGGGGGGGTACTGGGGATCAAACTCAGGTCCTTGTGCTTGCCAGGCAGGT